ACACAGACACAGACACAGACACACACACACACACACACACACACACACACACACACACACACACAAACACGAATGAGACCAGAGCTCAAATGAATATAGCTTTAATTTATCAGCGAGCTCTGAGACAAAATATACCATAAGTAAACAATTCTTATTTTCTTGATATCTTACAAGTAATAATCTTTATAGTTCAATCACAAAAATGAATATCTTATTCTTTTACACTTTATTAAAAAAAAGAAAGGAAAACACACAACAATCAGTAACAATCATCATTCAACACAATCACACTCAGCAGTGACACACACACACACACACACACACACACACACACACACAAGCCCTCATTATATCCATTCATGAAAGGGGAATTTTTAAGAATGAGTAAAATAATGAATCATGTAATAAAAAAAAGGAAAGAGGGTTATTTTGGACCCTGGGACTACACATATGAAAACGTAATACCTTTAATCGCTTGTTCAACAATCTTGAGTGTCATTATTCTGTGTTCTCAGCATATCAGAATTTCGCAAGAAGCATTTTATGGCAAAATACACACATGCTGTTAGTCTGGGCTGATGCTTATTCCCAGATTCATTTCAAATTGAAATGAGGAATAATTTGGCAGGAAAAAAACATACATTCCTGAAGAAAAAAGTCTGTGATTCATTACGCTGTAAAGCAGTTCACAAAGACATGATGACTTTCAAAAAACGTCTTTAGCCTTTTCTCCCTTTATTTTCCCCCTTGTTTCAGAAGTATATAACAGCAGCAGCCAACACAATCACAGCACAGGCCAATATTAACAACTGGAATCTTAAAGACAGTTTTGCCTGGGAATTTTGTTACAAAAGGGAGTGAAGATCTGTTTCATGAGTGAATCTAACATGTCCAGGTCATATTTCACCCCAAAACCAAAAGCAAGAAATAGGAAATATATTGCTTAAAGAAAATTAAGCCTATTTTCAATTTAAAATGTCACATTGTGACAAATTTGATAAGATTTAAGTACATTTCACCCAAATTCTTAAAAAAAAGGAAAAAAACAAAACAAAAACAACCCTGTATTCTCATTTAAAAAAAATGTGAAAAAATATATTGTTTTGAATGATAAAGAATTACATGGTATTTATTGTACAACCTTTATAATGATTTAAATAATACAGTTTTATTGTAACAATATACTGCATTAAAGTAATGAAAATATAGAAAATTTGTGAATAATGGGAATTACAAAAAATAATAAAATAGTAATATTTTCTTATTGACGGCAATGAGAATTTGGTTAAAATGTGTTTTATCACAATGTAAATATTTTAATGCACCTAAAAATAGGCATAATTTAAGCAATTTTTCATTTTGATTGGTTTGTGAAATGTCACTTGAACATGTTTTTTTGTTGTTGTTGTAAAATTCACTCTCAAACCTCTGAAAAGTGGGTTGTGCCTCGAAACTTAGAGAGAGTGTCTTACCTAGACAACACTTTTGGCCACCATAAACACTTAATGATATAAAAATGATAGGCAGCTCACTGGTTTTGAGATTGTATTTCCTCAGTGTGACAATTTTAGATAATTTCATTGTGCCTCATTCTGTTGGCTAAACTAAAGATTTCCCATTTCCCCCACTATAACAGCTGATGCTGTGCTTGCACACGATCTCTCTGTCTCTCTCACACACACACACACACACACACATCAAAATATCACAAAAAAGCAGCAATGTAGTCTGTCCTGTATGAGTGTCCTGAAGTGTCTCTCAGGTCCTGGAACAGCAGGTATAACTAGAGAAACGCTCCAGTAATCTCACGTGTACGTTGGCACACGTTCAGCGCACTAGTGTGAAGGCCCTGTGTTCTTAGAGGTCCGTGTGCCCTGGGTTAAACCAGGCTCCTGGGTGTACCGTTCAGCGCTGTGGATTTGAGTCGGGCCAGGCCGTTGCCGCTGCCGCTGCTGCTGGGTGGGCTGGACTGCACCGCCGCTCCTGTCCTCTGGGTGGAGCTGCTCACCTCAAATACCTCGTGGATGGCCTTTCGAAAGCAGTGGAAGTTGTAGTCTATCAAACCTGTGGAAGATAGAGACATGAGCCATATTCGGAGTTACAAACGAGATGCTTTTAAGTAAGAAACACTGTGGTGCTTTTATCATTTTGTTGGTTAGAGCAGTCTGAAATAACAACTATTCAACCAATCTCACCTAGCGTGAGTTTGAGGCGGGACTATGTACTTGACCAAGCAATGGAAGAACAACAAATGTTTGGGAAAACCAGTTAATATTTTTGCTAAGTTAATTTGATCACACTACAGTCTTACAAATTATGGTCCTCTGTTGGAATCTGTGGTTCAGTGAAGAACTTTAACATCCATGGAAACTTTCCATTCTACAAGTTGCTTTATAGGGAAAAAAGATTCTTTCGATTTTTGAAATGTTTTTCACACACGGTTCTTTTAAGAACTGTTCACTGAAGGGTTCTTTGGAGAACCAAAAATGGTTCTACGTGACACTTTACCTATACACAAGTCAACAAAACATGCTGATATTTTGCAGTGAATGATCATGTCAAACATCTGTACCTTTTCTCTCAAAGCTCTCTTCTCTCAGGATGCAGACCAGAGCCAGGAACTTGGTGACCTCCTTCAGGTAAAGCACTGTGGTGTTGTTCAACTTTATGATGGCCAGAGACTCTTTATCATAAGCGTTACCATTGCCGTCGTCTTTTAGGCTAAAAACATTCAATAAATGGCTTTAAAAAAAACTCTAACACATAATAGAGGACACAATATATAGCATTTATCTTATATATTGTCAGCATAAAGAAAGATAACAAGAAAATAATATATTTTTTGAAAGTAGTATACACTACTGTTCAAAAGTTTGGGCTCAATTTGAAAGAAATGAAAGTGCCCTTAAATGCCATTTCGGATATTGCCTTTCATGCAGTGTGTAATGTAGCTGTATGAGAATGTAAATGATCTGCAAAGTTGTAAAGCTGAAAGTGCACGATAAATAAAGTTATTGTCTCCCAAAAGAAAGAATCGACTCTGAACAGTCTAAACGAGTCGTCAGTAATTCGAATCTCAATTCGGTAACACATTTGCATAATGCCTGCCTATGTTCTACGTTGGCCGGCTGCGAAAAAATTGACCCGCCCTTAAACACTGTAGCTTGTTCGTGTCGAGAAGACGCTATGAAAGTAAATTCGTTTGATTTTCACTTCCGAAAGATGAGGCTGCAAAGAATCAGTGGTTAAAATAGATTTTTTCCACTATACTACAGCAGTAAAACCCCAATCTTTTTTGTATGTGTGTTCCCATCATTTTACTGATGACTGCTTCTCTAATCTCAGAGAGTTTAACGCGGGATTCACAAAACGCATGCTCTTGAAAGATGGCTCAGTACCCAGTGATTTGGCTTCAATGAATCACAACCTGTGAGTATGAGAAATAATAGATGTTTATATTTTTTATCGACCATTCAAAATACGGAACTGTGGCAATGGGCGTATCGTTTCCGACACATGCTGTACGCGGTAGACCAATCACAACAGACTGGGCCATCTGACCAATCAGAGCAGAGTAGGCTCACGGAAAGGAGGGGTTTAGAGAGACTGAATTTTAGAACTGTTTCGAATGAGAATCGTTGGAAAATGAGGTGATATATTAAATGCATATTTTGAGAAAACAAAAGCATTTTTTTGACCTTGCATGCATGTAAAGCTCTTGTAGGAGACTCCCAAAACAA